CTCTTTTAAAAATATGCAATTCATTTTTTGGAGTGTTTTTTAATCTACTAGCTGTAAAATATTGAACCACTTTGCCTTTTTCCTCTTTATTAGAGTGGGCAGATTTCTTTCATACTAGAGATGGAATTGTTTACTTGTCTCTTTTTACAAACCACCCTAACTGATAGAAACAACAAATGTCATAGAAAAATAGTTTTGTCAAAGTCATAAATTTTTCCTCTAATTTGAATTCAACCTTAGGGCTGATGATTGTGTTAAGTCCAAAGCGAGATAAAAAGCAATTAGGAACTGCCGCTTCAATTTCAAGTGTCCTTCTTAACTATTTCTGTTTCCTTTCTTTTTCCCTTTTGTCTTTGCTTCAAAGTGAAGCAAAACTCACAATTTTGCTTGATTTTGAGACCTGTTAAGCTACATTTGCTTTGCCTGTGTTTTTCTATTGAATTCTGAGTCCAGTTCGTATTTCAGCTCCTGGTGGCCTGGGAATTACAAATGCCTTGGCACTAGAACAAAAGAAAACTACTTGGTGAACTCTGGGAAATCTAAACTCTTTTTCATATTTCCAGTCCAGAGAGCAGCCCAGCTTATAAGCAGTTCCTTGAGATAGGGAGTTACAGAATTTAGTTTATGTGAAAATATAAACTGATTCATTTCTTCTTTGTACCACACAGTGATTCTTTCTCTTCTTTTCCCTTTCCCATTCCTCACACGAGCACTAAAATAGGAATGGAAACCACTGGAAACTGAGTTCTGTGGAGAATGAATGGTTCACATATCTTTCAGAAAGGACTAATTATATAAAATAACCACTTGAAAATTCATTGGCTTATTTCCTTTACTTCGGGAAGTGCCCTCTGCATCTCTCAGGCTCTTTTAGGTAGCATGTAGTCACTGATGTTCTCTACTTTGAGTTGCATGTAAGTCTCAGTCTCTCTTGACATTGTGATCCCTACTACAAGGTCTTTGTTATCTTCCCCATCCACCTAGAAGATCCTTTTTGGTCTTTCATTCGCTGGTTCTGACAGCAGAACTCAGTTTACTGGCCTTGCTGGTGGTTTCTTGCGTGTTCCAGCTTCCTTATTCCTCTTCTTGCTAGCCTGCAAACTGCTGGGAACACTCACCTGTGCAGAGTTCCATGTCCGTGTTCTGAAAACAAAAATGGATTCTCCTTTCTGTAATTCCAGTAACAGGCCATCATTTGTTTAACTTTCAAAAGAAGAAAAGAAAGAAATGGAGGGTTCACATCAGTCAGTCTGCATACCTTTAAACAAAAAAAAAAGGCAGGAAAAAATAGACCGGAAACAACCTAAATGAAACCCAGCTAAGAAGAACCAGGGAGAACACAGGATCACCATGAAAACAACTGCAAAGAAAGAGCTGGATCCATCTCAGCACAGCAACTCCATGGGCTTTCTGAAGGACTTCTGTAGGTGAATTTCCGTCACCTGAGTGACCTGCATGGGGGCCTGCACCATAATTTTCCTCACTGTTTACCTGGGTGGTAGGAGCAAAATGTTGTGATCACCAATGATTACATTGTTGACCCTTCTTGAGTTCTTACTTGTCTGCTCCAGTGTTCCTTTATGTCCTAGGTCCCATGGGGGAGGAGAGACAGCATGTTCTTATTTGTCAGTGAAACCGAAACCACATATTCCTTCAAACTACAGTTGAAATTGCAAGTTTCTTTCTGTGTAGGAAAATGAAGTTGGTCATCCACTAATTTCAATGTAAAATGAGCAAGATCAATTCCATAGGTCTCTTCTGGTTGAAGAATAGGCAGTGTATCATTTTAGGAAGCTCTGTCTCGCAGTGTCTAAGTTGATAGATATGCAGTAGACATGGAAATCTCCAAGAAGAGGTGAGCACAAACCATTACTTGCTTAGAGGACCGCATGGTGAAATCTATACCATCCCGGGGAACAGCCTGCTTAGCAGAGGGAGGAATGGCTTGTATCCTTTATAAACATTAGCTCCAAGGCTTCTGCTTCAGAACTGAGAAAAGCAGCAAGGTTGATCAAAATGCTGTTTTATTTTGCAGAGGGCTGAAATGCAACTGTTACCCTCAGCTAGCCAGATTAAAGGCTTTTGCTTCATTCTCTGGAATTCTTGCAATTGCAGAAGTTGCTCTTTTTTCAATTAGCAGCACTATTACTAAATGAGCAGCTGGTGGAAGAGCATTCACAGAGCTTTCACATAAAGCTTTCAAGTCTCTTACTGTTGGCTTAGTTAGGGCTTTCTTCATCACAAACATGAGCAGATTTATTGTCTTCGTCAAGGAGTGTGAACAAAAGTGACAGTGCTCACCAGGCACTTCGTTTTCTCAATTCTATTCAATTTTAATTGTAACTAGTGAAAAGAATGCTACATTTCTAGGTCGTTGTTCCAGGAAGTGTTTTAAATAGAAGTACCCTCCAGCACTGTTCAAAATGCAATCTAAATAATGCAAGATTGATAGCAGAAAATACAGCATTATTAAATAGCACCAAGTAATGGTCAACTATTCAAAGTCATCATTCTTGATTAGCCTGGATCATTATTATTGAGAACGTGACCAAATTTGCCATCAGTAGTACGCACAGCTTTTGAGGTAAGTTAAACAATCATTTCAGATTAATTGCTGTTGATTATACTCAGTCATACTCATACTTTGTGGATTTTAGGGCTGAAATTTTCTGAATATGTTTTGTTTTCTCCTTAAAAAAAGGCAGCCCTTTTCCAAAGCATGTACTTTGGGGAAGAGCTGACTTATGCTCCCTAAAGCATGAATAACCCTAAAGTTATGAAACACTCAGCTCAAATTATGTGTCTTTTTTAGTCCAGATAACTTTTTTTTTCTCAAGTCAAACAGTGTAATTCATGTAGTTTGTGAGGATGAGACTTTTCCATACTCTCTCAACTGAACCAGAGCATGGCATCGGACAAAGAGAACCCTTCCTCTCTAAGACAAGGAACAGAAAAAAGACCTGCTGGGTTTATTACATGAGTGTTCATGTGATGTTTTGAAGAGAATGGAGTGGGAGGGGGAAGCGTGCTGCAAATTCCGTATTTCCTGCGGTGTATTTCCATGTCGATGGCATTTGCTGTTCACGTGGGCAGTGCGAAATCAGATAAAGGGCTGATCTGAAATTTGGAAGGTGACTTTATTGTTGTCACTTGTCCTGCACGCCAGGTGTCTCTTTGTGCTTCAGTTTCCCTCTTAGAAGTGAGAGGAGCAGCCGTGCCCAGCAGGGCAGATGGCCCTGAGGGGAGGCCTGCTGTCAGACACTGGGCTCATGGGTTCTGCTGAATGCCCAGCTCTAACAGTGCTGAAAGATGGAGGTTTGAGAAGATTGCCTGTCGATGTGCCATCAGATACTGTCTTCTGCACATAGTGCTCACGGCATGCTTTTGACGAGATGCCGTTTGCCCAGTGTTCAGTCAGCACTTGTTCAGTGGGAAACATAGAGCTGTAACGAAGAGCCCATAATAGACCTTTCTATTTTCTTCCCACCACAGGCTCACTTGACAGGGCGATGTGTTGTTCAAACGATGCCTGCAAAAAGATCTCTTTTGGAGCGTAGTGGATTTTTTTAGTTTGTTTTATTCAGAAACATTGTCACGAGTCTCATTGGAGGGAGCAGGCATCTAGTACCATTAGTGTCAAGGTCTGACTGACAGATCCCTTTCCAGGTGCATGGGGCAATTGTAGTCTGCTGTGCTTTTGCCTCAGCTGAAGTTTGCAGCTGAGCTGTGATGGAAGAAGTGACAGCAAAGCAGTAATATCTTCTGCGAGAGCTCTCCTCAGCTCCCTTTGATGGGTGTAACCACCCAGCATGTCAGACTTACTCCGGGCTTTTTGGTTATGGTGTAGTCAATTAAAGTGACAAAATGATGTATGATGGGAGGAAGAGCCTCATTATATTGTCACTTGTACTCTGTAGTTGGCTTTTGAAGAACTCTGTTTGCCATCACACCTAATGAAGGCCAGAAGCTGACAGTGTGGCTTGTAACAATCCTGTGCAAAGTGCAAATTCTTTACAATAACCCCACCAGAAACTTCTTTTTTACTGTGCATCTGATAACTCTGTTAAAGATGTGAGTCTGAAGGAATTTAATTTAATCCTGTTTCCATTATTGTGAGGTACAGGAGTTGGTTGTTTATGTTTACTCTGACCTGATATTAAGAAAAACTGAGCTCAGAGAACTCACAAGCCACTTGCATAGATTTAACCCCTAGGGATCTTTTGTGAGGGAGCGGGCAATGGTTTTAGTTGTTAAGGGATTGCATTTTTCAGTATTTAAAGGCCAGAATGTGTTGGTGAAAGCACCCAGTCTGACCTGTTCCATGCCTGTGCTGGGTGTCTGTGCTTGGTGTGGGCTGCAGGGCTCAGTGAGGAGAGGCCTGGATTCCCCTTCTATATTCCAGACCATGAGCTTTTTCTCCTCCCTGTCCACCCGAAGAGGAAGGAGAAAGTAGCTGGTTGGAGGTTGGCAGCAAGAGGTCAGCCCACCATGATACTGCACACTGGGGGATTTACAGAGTAGCTCCTTCAGAGGGAGGAAATCTGTTTGATGTGATGTAACATCCAGAACCAGCTGCCTAACCCTTCTCAAATGCTAAGTGCTACATACTAGAGTGAAATCTGAAGGTGAGAGAGGAGGTGTGCTTGTGGCATGTATAGGGAATAAGAACAGTGAATAAGTGCATTCAAGGTTTGAGGTGGCACCAGTTTCCTGTGTTCATAGGCTTGGAAGGTGAAAGAGCTGCTGTGCTGGCAGCTCTTGTCAGCAAAATTTCTACAAGGTTCTTCATAGTAAGCCAGAAATGAACCTCCATGTCTTCTAGTAGTTCCTTTGTGCTGAAAATGCACAGTATGACAGCCACTGTTTGAATGTGTCACTGAAGTGTTTGTGAAGTGTTTGTGAAGATCAGTGCTTAACGAGGTGATGTGATGAAATATAGTATAAAAAAAAAAAGAGAAAGAAGGAGTGAAGTAAATGACAACATCTTTCTGTCCCTGCAGAAACTCATCGTATTGCATGAAGGTGTCCATGTCCTTGACGGTAGCTGAGAATGAATCTGGGCTTTGCTACAACAGCAAGATCAGATATCTGGAAAAATCAGAAGTTACCAAAAGAAAGACAATCTCCTGTCCTGATATCGAGGATTACAAAACAGACAGTCAAGAGCCAGATGTTGTATGGTACAAGGTAACTCTTGCTGTGTCGTTGGTATTGTAATGAAACTGTATCTAATGTCCGCTGTTTCTAGTTTGAGGCTTAGAGATGGCCTTCTTTGCACCTGCAGTAGTTTCTCACTGGGTCTGGAGGATGCTCTCCCACTGTTACAGGAGCAATACCGAACTGCAGGCAAATTACCCAGCATAGCCATTGACCCACAAAAAGCAGCATTAATGAGGGTGTTCTATTCTGAAGGTTATGTGGTTTCTGTAACAGCAGAACAATATTCCCAAACCTGTGCCTCTTTACCAGTTTCCACCCTGATGGGTTGTCTCCATAGCTGATGCCACCCAGTTAATTATTAGGAAGTCTGTAGGGTACCTTCATCAGGGCCTGTTAAGTTTTACCAAAGTCTGCTGGGTAATTTCACAGAGATACTTGTACTTTTGTGGAGGTTCACTGAGTAATTTTACATATGTTGGTTAATTCTAACTAAGATTTACTAGGAACTTGTACTACTCAGCAGGTAACTGTTCTGGCTGTGCCTTCTGCAGGGCTTTCAAGAATTGCCCAGAACTTTCAGCAGCAAATGCATACATGATGTGTTACTGGAGCTTCGCAAAGAACAGGAGAATGACTAAAATGCAGGTTGCCATGCAGACCTTACTAAGATCCTGGCAAACTTTACTCACTGACTGAATATGGACCAGGATTTGGTATTTGAAAAGCCCTCGGGTGTTACAGAACCATAGAATCACCAAGGTTGGAAAAGACCTTCAAGATCATCCAGTCCAGCCACCCACCTGTCACCATTATTTCCTCTGAAACATGGGACTGAACCATGTCCCTTTCTTAATACATCAAAACATTTTGCTAAGGGAACTGTAGGAAACAAAGGGGAGGAGTGAAGAGATGGGAGTCAGAGGGAAGAAGAAATAGTACTTGGTCAGGGGGAAGAGTTTGGTGAGATTGGTGGGAAAGAATTTGGATTGCAGTGATAAAAGGGTGATAAGTTTTGGACAAACTTGGCAGAAAATGCAGGAAGAAGTTAAATCCTAAATTTTGAGTGCTTGATTTGGCAACCTGAACAGCATTCTTTGAAGGTTGTTTCTTTTAATATGAAGTGTTATGTGCGGAGCTGCAGATTTTTTTTCTTCCTTTGTGGGATGGAGCAGAAAAGAGCAATTTTTGAAGTTGTCATCTACTTCTATTTTTTACAGAAATCTCACATGTTCAAGCTTATAGTAACAAAACATGCCATAACCCACTGTTAGTATAAACAAAATTTTTCTTTCAGCCACTGGAGCTATTTCTTTCAGCATATGGGTGGATATCTTCAGTGCTGTTCATGCATAAAATATTTGTGCTCAGTTGACTCTGAAATCTTGATAGAAAGAAGGTACCAAAGAGAAGCTGCTTCTTCTGCCATCCGAGAACAGGAGAGGAAGGGTGTTTGGTCCATATAGCCACACGTGTTGTCTGAGTTGCTCAGACAGGTTTTGTGCACCAGCTGACTGACAAGTCATCACCATGGTGAAATTGATGTGAATTGATATGGTTGGCTGCTAAGAGGCAATTGAGGTCAACAGCCTTTAGTCTGGCTTGATAATGTAAAGAGACATTAATGGAATAACCCACTGCATACAACTCCTTATTCATAATTAACAATAAGGTGCTATCACTTCAGTTCTTGGATAATGCTTATATTATCTGGACCTGGGTCAGGAAGCTCAGTAATGTAAAATGTCAGTATTAATGTCATGTAGAAAGTTATGTCAGGTTATTGCTTGAGACACATTTCTGCAACAGCATTTTGAAAAAACATTCTGGATGGTACTGTGGTGCTATTAGTAGAAGTCTGCCTAGACTTTTAGACACAAGAACCACTAAAGCCCCTAAAAACTGTGATCTGGAGCTTAAGATCGTACTATACAGTAAGTGTGTCCCTTCTCCTCAAAGTGATATTGCAGTATAAAGCATTACCCTCATCTTCTAAAGAAGGCATCTGTTTCCAGATGTCTTACAGCAGAGCTAATCACCCTCTGACTTTGTGATTGAGTTTAACATGTAGATGAAGGTATTATTGGCCATCTTCCCGTGTAAATCTGCTGCAGAGTTGTTGGAAGGGAATTGCTTTCCATTATGCTGAACTGTTTAGAGAAGATTTTCCAGGGGAGAGTGTAAGTTGTCCAAAATAGAATAGAATAGAAGTATATATGAGGAAGTTCTGAGGTTTCCTCCTTTGTAGTTACCTGAAAATTAAGTTCTATGTGAATTTCTCTCCTTGTGGAGGGAAGCCGTCAGTCCCTGGTAGTTGGGGAATTTGGATTGTGACTGGTGAACCACTATCAGCAAAGACAGTAATGCTACAGCTCATGGTTTGCAGGGCTCTCCTGCCTTCCAGAAGCCTTCTCTGTATGGAGAGATTAATGAATCTGAGCCAATAATTGCATCAATTTAGAAGGAGTTAACTGTAATTTAAATACGCTCTTAAAATAATTATGCTTGAATAGATTTCCACATACCACACCCAATGAGGAATGATAAAACATTTGCTATCAGGGCTTGTTTTAACAGTAGTTTGAACTTCACTTCTGGCTGTGAAATATTTCTTTGGAGAGATTTCCACAGTTAGTGCCACTGATACACACACTGCTCCCTTACACTCATTAGAACTGTTTTGACAAGCAGTACAAGCATGTTGTTTTTAAACAGATGTGTGCATGAAGGCATGATTGAATCAGTGGGTTTTAACAGTAAGAACAGTTTCAGGAAAAAAAAAATCAGCTAGCAAATAAAAAATGCATTTTTTTAGTTTCTTCACATGTGTACTTTTAAAAATAAATATACAGAACATAAAACTGGTAACATATTTATGACAGGGCCTTCCAGTGCTGCTCTGCAAGGATGCATGTTTGAAATACACGTGCTGTGTATATTCCTGGAATTGTATTCCTCCTAAATTAGGGTTGAACAGAGTTCTTTGCCCATCAGTGTTCAGATTCAGTCACTCCAGGTAGGTGGCTGATGCAACTCCATTCTGCTTTGTAAATAGGTCTAAAAGATCAGAAGGTGTCTGAGGGCATTTTCCTGCTCACATCTGTTTCCCACATAAACCTCAAACCGTATCGATGTCATGCAGCAACAAAACTAAGCTCTGATTTTTAGCACAGTAGATAGGATCCGGGTTCAGATCATCCCGTTCAGCGCTGTGAACTACAGGTCCCATGCAAGGCAATGTTAGGGACTTTGCAGAGCAGTAGATAGCATGAAAGCTGAGACCTGCAGAGGGATTGCATGGTTTAGGTATTCTTTATTTGACTATACTGTAACTGAATGTGACCTGTTAGAGATAAGGATAAAAGTCTTGGTGCCTCCAGATGCAAGGCCAGAAGCTCACAGTCTCGCTTTTCAAACCCGTTATTCTCCTGTAACTTACAATCTGACATTGAGGATTTGGAGCATATATGGAGTCTCAGGAGGAAAAAAAAAAAAAAAAAGGATATTTATGTCATTTTGATCTTTTTCTGTCATACAGCAGATTTGCACGTCATTGTGTTTCCTTGTTTGTTTCCTTAAAAGAAAGCTTTGTTCTGCTTTGTTTGCTGTGTGTCTGACAACGCTGCTGCAGACAAACAGAAAGTGGGACGTAGACGTGGGCTGTTGGGGTGAATCTCTGAGACTGAGAGGCTGCTGAAAGTGCAGAGCCTGCTGCTGATGGTATTGCAACGTTGTTAGTTGTGCTTTGAGAGCTTGTTCTGTGTTGCCTGCTCGAGAGAGAGGAAATAAATGGCATTAAAGGTACTTGGGTCCTAATTGTGTTGCTTTGTGTGCTTTGGGCAGCAGAATGAACCAGAGCACGGAGCATTTCAGAGAACTTTAAAGCATGGTTTTGATCACAGGGGGTACATTCTCGATGCTAAAGCTACTAAGAAGGAATAAACATATACTCTGAAGGTACCATTTTGAAATGATTAGATTGTGCCCATACATTTGGTTCAGAGCATTCCAAGAGGTATTCAGTCGTGAGTACCATGATGGCGGATGGGAACAGAGCTGGCTGCAAGGATCATAGTACATTAGGAAGGGGAAAGCTGTGTGTCTTGCACGCTCTGCAGAAGGACTCAAATACTGCAGCAGGACCACGTTGCATAGCAATGAACCTAAACTAAGGTCTGGCTGGGAAAGTCAGTGAAAGTTGCAGACTGTCAGTAGCGTATACACCATGAGATGACGCACTTGGGGGTGATGCTGCAAAGAACCCAGTTACAGGAAAAGGCTGAATCAGAGCTCACACCTCATTAGATGCGAGAGAAACCAGTGAGGGGACACAGGGACCAGAAGGAAACCGGGTTTCTTGAATTATCTTGCTCACAAAACTGCTGCTGTTCTTCCTTTTTCTTCTGTTGGTAAATGAGGCTGTGACTGCGTGAAGTTTGTCTCCAGGCTGACTCTTAACAGATGTTGCCTATACTCCCTTCAAACAGAGATGTATTTTAATGGTCCATCTTAAAATAAATGTGTTGGCAGTTGTTCGTCGCGAAATGAGAAGATACTTAACCATTGCTTCAGAGCATCGGATATTAAACATGGCACATGTGATACAGTGGGAATTACTGAACTTTAAAAGCATTTCTGTTTAATTTCTGTCTTCAAATTAATTCCAGTTTCAGATCTCTATGCCTTCTGAAATTATATTCAAATTTGAATTGCAAAATATGCTGAGATGGTTGTTTACATATGTATATAATACTGAAAATCTGATCAAACAACACAGTCCTATGTCATACAAGCTGGGTAATTTTAGCAATGAATTTTTATTCCACAGGAATGTAAGCCAAAAATGTGGAGAAGCATTGTAATTCAGAAGGGAAATACACTGCTAATACAAGAGGTCCAGGAGGAAGATGGAGGAAATTATACCTGTGAACTGAAGTTTGAAGGCAAGCTTATACGAAGAACGGTTGAGCTGAAGGTTACTGGTAAGAACCTTTGTTTTGTGGCTATTAAAAAAAAATAAAAAAAAAAAGTTTTATAATAAATGAAAGCAATATTCACATGTTGGCAAATATTTGGTAGAAGAAATTCCAAACCAAATCTCAGTAACCACGCAATTTCAGATTAGGGGAAATTTAGGTCCAGACTTACAGAACTTCACAGAAGATTGCTCCTACTTTTTGTTCCGTGCAAAACCTGGAGATTCAAATTATAAGATGAAAGACAGACATCAGCTCACTCCATATGCTGGAGAAAGTTCCAATTCCAGTTGCATCTTTAATATTAACATAGAGGAGAGGTTAAGGTGAAGCTATCTGAAGAAACTTCTGGTGAGGTTTGTCTGGAATTAAACACAGCCAAAAGAGATGTCTTGAGTCATGAATTTATTGTTCCGTATTTTTTATCTTTGGCTTAATTTATGATGGTCAGCTCCTTTAGTTTTTCCTCTAGGTTTTCTTTACTGCAGAGTGTGGCACAACCTATTCCTAGGCTGAAAGTAGGAACACTGGACTGTAGGAGGAAAGGAACATGCTTATCAGGGGGATCATGCATTTTGTTTCTGAGTCCATGCAATAGTCTACTTAATGGAATGGGACTTTTCCATTTCTTTTGGTGAGGTATCAAAATTGAACCTATTGCCTATCCGTATATTCCTGATTCCTTTCCATGCCACTGTGCAGTATGACATCTATAATTATTATTTGTCTTTGGCATCTGTGGAACATTGCATGTGTCTGAAAATAACTGTTTTTTTTCCCAACCTTTTGCACACAACTATACAAACAAATGGTTGTTTTTTTTTGTTTTCTTGTCTGTTGTCTGACATACAAATTAAAATGCAGTCCTACATAAAGCAGTAACAAATAGAAATCTACTATTTGGTATCTGAGTACCAAATACCATACTGATGTATGGTATTTCTTATGTGTTCTTGAAATACAGTTCTTCCCTCTATTTTGAATGAAATCCATTTTTCTTTTCTTATCACTGTTCCCTGTTTTAAATGAGTTATTTTCCCTATATGCCAGACTCATATATCATGTGATTCTTTATTGTCCATTTTTGACTGTGGACAGATCTCTGAAATATTGATTTGACCTACCTGACCCCAGGCCTGTCAGATGAAGATATAATACCTACCTTGTGGATAGCTGCTATCCTAGGTAGCGTGCTGGTCTTCAACCAGAATGTGAACTAAGTTTGACAAAGTGAAAATGAGATGCATCTAATTCAATTCCAGATGATGGATATTCTTTAAATAACAGCTTGCTCTGCCTCTCATCATGACCTTGCAAGAAGTGATGTGTTCTCTCCATTACATGAACAATGTGTTATGTTAACACTTCACAATTTAATGACTTTGTCCTAAAATAACTGTAGTATGTGTTAAAGTTTTTCATTCTATTAAGATGTTATGATATGGATTATTAAAATTGTAAATATGACATATGCAAACGTTTTCTCTATTTTGCATGATGCTTGAGAACCAGGAGATTGTTCCCTTGCAATTTGGTGCGGAATTCACATTAAATTAAATTTCCCCTCATTCATAAAGGCACATGTGTTTATGTGTTATGTCCTCATCATTACAACCACAGCAGCAGAGTAGAAATCATCTCTATGTTTAGAAAAGATAGGCAATTTTTAACCAAACACTTCTTCCTGATTTAAGTGTTTGGGAGACATGGTTCATGTTGTGTGTTTGCCAGTTGAATCTCTCATTGTATGTAGAATAGGCTAGGAAGGTTATGTAAGTGATGATCTGTATATACTGATAAGAGCTAGATGTAACACACAGGACTGTGTAAGCACGTTATCATAAAGCTTGGTGCTTTGTAAAGTTTCTTTATCTTGTTTCTGGTCTGTGAATGCTTTATGCGGGTGGTTTTATCTTACCGGGGGAACAGGGTGTGAAAGCAAACTGCAGATGGTCACTTGAGTGGTGCTGGTCAGGTCAGCTGGAGGGTCCTGAGGCAGGGAGATCACAGGCTGAGAGCAGGTGCGTGGCATGACCAGGGACTTGTTTGAACAATATGGCTAAAGATTTTTCTTACGTTTAAACAGAATTTGTCATATAGCAGCTTGTTGCCTGTTCCTTCTTATTCTTTCACCAGGCATCTCTGAGATGGTTGGACGGAGTCTGCCTCCACCTTCTCTGCACCTTCCCACGGGTGTTTCTGCTCATGGATCAGTTTTCCCTGAGCCTTCTCTCTTGCAGGTGTACCCACCTCAGATCTTTCAGCCTCTTCTTGTATGATAGATGCTCCAGTTCCTTAATCATGTTTGCAGTCCTTCACTGAACTTGTTCCATTATGTCCAGGTCTGTCTTGTACTGGAATCAGTGGTGCACTGGACCCCATTATTTGCCCGTTTGAAAACTGAGTTCTCATCAAAATACATGGCTGTACCTGGAGGAGCTGGGGTGGAACCAGAGCTCAGGCTGCTGAACCTGCTGCTCTGTGTAAATCACTGTTCATAAATACTGCTGAAGGCTTACCAGCAAAGCCCTGGTAGAATTATCTCTGCTAGCTCTCAATGCAGATGTGGAGAAAAGGGTCTTGCCTGCTAATTTCAGAGGCTCTTTCCTCTTCAGGGACTTTCTAATGCTTTTTCTATTGCAGTTAATTATTAACATGCCTGAATTGGCATTTGTAAAAGCACAGCTGCCTGAGTTTCACTAACAATATGGATTTTGAACAGCAAGATGCTGTTAGCCATTGCCAGCAGCCATGGTAACCTAAAATTGTTATTGAAGAGTAATTCTGACAGTGAAACAGGCAACCCTGCAACTCTCTCAAGCAAGGGAGCAGTTCTGCCATGTATAGAGAGGAGCTTGGGTTCATTTCCCTGTGGCTTTTCAGATGTTCTCTAAAACGTACACTACTTGAAATAAGTAAGTTAAGTTAATGGAGATATATATAATGTCAGTCCTCTCTGCCTGCAAGCGTGTTGCAAGCGTCTGCTTTTGTGGGAATTATGTGTAGACAAGTGATAGAAGATGATCTCATGCGTTCTTTTCCTTGTGTTGCCAGAGCTGCCATGTTTGTACTCTTCAGGATAGTATCTTTCAGTGTCCAAAGGGGAAAACATAGAAAGAAATAGCAAAACTTGTATAGGATATGTATACTATGTTCAGCTGTTGGAACTGGATGAAGGTTGCATCCTAAAAGATCCAGAAAATAATTCATAGGTCATATAAAGATTCAAGGCTCTTTATGCAACAGATAGGACCTGCTAGTCTTTGGAAAACAGTTGCTGCTCACTTTCAGGCGGACTTTGGTTGCTGTGTTCTGCAGGAGAATGGACACGTCTTCTGTTTGCTGAAGTCTCCCAGTAACCATCAGCAAGGGCTCCTGCTGGCCCTGTAAAGTTGGCCTGAGCAAAGAATGACTGTTTATTTGGTATTCATGCTATGTTGCTTAAGCATTTATGTTAAATAGAGTCTGCCAGGTGATGCTCTGAATTAGAAGCAAACCTCTACACCTCTGTGATTCAATCGTTATTTAAGCAAGCTTCCAGGGAAGACATCAGAATTATGAAAAGGTGCTGCCTTACCTTCCTGTACCAAAGTGAGGGAGCTGTTGGAGTGGCTGTCAGGGAGGGAGCTGCAAGGACAGCATGTGCCAATCCTTGGGAACTGTTTTCCTCAGCTCCAGTGTTGCCTTTTTGTTTTTACAGGCCGAAATGGAAGATCTCAGTGGCTCTGTTAGAGTTCTTACTCTTGGTTGGTAAGAAAACTTTGACACAGTTCAGGAGAAAAAGCTCACTGGTCTTGTAGATGAAAACTGAAACCCAACAACATAATGTCTGGCTATTTTGAGAAAGAGAAAGGATGGCGAGTTGTAATAGTAGAGAAAAAGGAGCATAAATCAAAAAAGGAAAACGTCATTTATAGAAATGGAGTACTGGGCATAGCTACCATGTTCTTGTGTGGGTTTGATGGTTTGAGGTATGGCAGACAATGATAGTGTCCTTTGGGGTTGCAAAGAAAAGGCTTGCAGCCTAAAATACATCTGAAAAATATTTAGAGACAAAGTATTTTTGGAGAGAAAATCTTGAGCTCCAATACAGTGCTAACAAGCAATGGCTGCATCTTGCTGTTTGGGTGCATTTAGGAATAATAGATTGTCAACAAAACAGCTTTTTCATCGCTTGTTATTCATGGTTTTGCTATACTGTGCAGACAGATGTGAAACAAGTCTTGTCAGCCTTTTTCTCTGAATAAACATGACAACAGCACTATCGCTTAGTAAGTAACATGTAACTTCGGTCTGTTTAAAAATATATATATATATACTTCTTCACTTTACTTTTTGGTATTTCTGTTGTGAGTTTAGCACCTGTGAGAACCTGAAAAGTGAATAAAATGTCTGTCTCTACTGAGAGAGTAAATTAGAGCATGTCCAAATTGGGAAGAAAAAAAGCCAAACACACACAAAAACAAAAGCATAGTAATATGAAGATAATAATACCAAAACTTCTAATTTTTCTAATGCAGCTCCAGATAGTTGAGAATATTGGATACATTATCTTAACAGCTGTTAGTATTTCCAAATGCCAGCATTTATTAAGGAACAATTGAATTATTTTACTGTTATTAATACTGCTACTGAAAACCTGAAGAAGTCATGTTGTGTTGAAAGGCAATTTAGCAACCACCTGCCTTCTCTGGGCCAGCCAGCCCCTTCTGTCTGACAGATAAGAATGTTCTGATAGCTTTTGGGAAATACACCTGTTATGTTTGCCTGTTGCTTCAGCGCCTTTTTGTGCTTTGGAACACTAGTCTGTGAGGATACGGGCCTATAAGAGATGTAAGTGGATGCAAGCAGGAGGCCAGGGAAAGGCTGGTCCTCGTGAGCAAAGAGCCAGCCCCACTTCCTTGGACAACCCAGAACCCCCTGGCAGGTGAGGCTGTCTGGCAGAGCCATGCTTTTCCATGGACGACTGTATTGGTGGAAGAGTTTGCCTTGATATGATTTGCGAA